TTTAAATATTAAAAATAGTTAATAAATAATAAAATAATTAATATTTATTATTTAATATATTAAAATAAATTGACAAATAAATACTTTTAAATATTATAATTAATTATTTAAAAAATTATAAATTAACAAAATTACAACTAAAATTAATAATCTAAAAAAAAAAACAGTCTTAACAAAGTCGACGATGGTTGCCGTAAGCCCCTAATCTCAGCCTCGGTAACCATTAGTTGCATTATGCAATCACGCTGCGCCAATCCTATCATGATTAGTTTGAAGCTTCCTTTGCAAGAATTACTCTTTTTTTCTTTTCTTTTTCTTTTTTCTTTTTTCCTTTTTCTTTTTTTTTTCTTTTTTTTTTTTTTTTTGACAAGGGTAATAATTGAAAAGTTAGTAGAGTTAATTGTTAGCAACTGAGATTTCCCAAAATGATGAACATTTCACCCCTTAAATGAGACGCGCGACCATTAAATTACAAATTGATGAAATTCACAGTGGTAACAAAACTCGAAGTACTGACTTCCACATCACTCAAACCCTAACTAAGGCTTGGGGCAACCACTTAAACCTCAGGCTCGGTTGGCGCAAGAATCACTTATTGAAATGACTATACTTTGTATTTAGTGTTTACTCAACCCTTAAATAATTACAACACACTATTTTTATGTGGACTCATCGGCATTGTCAGATTAAACCTCTCCTTTGATTTTTTTTTTTACTTAATTTTTTATATTAAAAAATTATATTAAATTTTATAAAAATAAAATTATTTTAATATTTATCTTTTTATTTATAAAATTTAAAGTCAAAATTTTATTTTAAAAAATTAAAATTTTACCATTTAAATTAATAAATTATCAATAAACTTTTCTTTTCAGTAAAAATAAAAATAACAAAGAACTCTTCTGATAAGGGTGACTTGATTATTTTTCCTTTTTTATTATTTTTTTAATAAAAAAATTTACAATATTAAATTAATGTTTATTAAAAAAAAATCAAATTTGAGACTTAATCTAAAGACCGGTGCATTACACTTGCTTTTTACTTAAGGGAAAAAAAAAAAAAAGTGGCGGTCACTGCAGTCATGAGAATGCCTTTCTTTTATTCTTTTTATGAAGAGTGACTAAAGGGTATTTAACGTAAATTAACGTGCTAGT